CCAACATTGTTCCAGACGACGACGTGCCGGGTTTCGGCCGCCGATCGCACTCAGCGGAGAGCGTGACTCCAGAGCACATTGTGCCCGACGACGACGGCCCCGAGCCCGGATCGCGGCTTGCCGCCACCGCGACCACCCACCACTCCGAGCTGCATCGGCGACACCGATCGCACGCGCCTCGGCGCCGTATGCACGTCACTCATTGTACAGTAGATTAATAAACTCTCGTTATAAGTTAACCACACCAAGCGCATTACTGCCAGCCCTCTCTCCTATTACGATCCTGGACGCCGGCGAGTTTATCCAAGCGATAAATAACGCAAAAGCACGAGGCGAGGGAAGCGACCCCGTTACAAAACTTTTTTCGATTCCTGGCCACACAAACGAGTTATTGGAGGTGATAGATTCAGATGACTCACCCTGTATAATACTTTGCTAAGTGATGAAATACTTACGTAAGTAAGTACTGTTAAGATTAAAAGTATTAACCCAGACAGCATACAATATTAGTGAGTTATTAGATAAATATTTATAAATATTTATTTTGAATTACTTTTTTAAAATATTATATATATATATATATATATATATATATATATATATATATATATATTTCCAGAATATTTCAAAAACTTCATAAATGATAATAGTTTCAAATGGAATATTTCTGAAATATTCTATTTCAGATATTCTGAGATATTTCTAACGACAGATCTCCAGAATATTTCAGAAACATCGCGAATGTAATATTTCAAATGGAATATTCTTAAAATACCTCATACGAAATATTCTATTTCAAATATCTGTACAATATCTCAAGAATATTTCAAATGTGATATTTTAAAAATTATATTTGTAATATTCTAGAGACATTACTGAAATGTTTTGTGCTGTGTGGGTGATTGGGTAAGTGAATAAGAATTGAAATTTTGGAAGCATTGGAAATATAAAAAATGGGGTTAAAATTGCGATTAATTTAACCCCATTTTAGATCGTCAACAAAGCAAGGACAAAGGTTTTAAACAGGCAGTTGAAATATTTTCATATTATTTAACAAGAATGGGTTAAACCTCATTTCTTTATTAAAAAAATATTTATTATATTTGAAATAATATTTTGTTAACGTTATAAAAATGTCTCTGTAAATGTGAAGGAAATGAATTTTAAACAAATCTTATAACGTTAAAAAAACATTATTTTAAAAAATTAAATGTTTTTCTAATGAAAAAGAGGAATTATTCCATTATTTTTAACATTTTTTAAACGTTTTTCCAAGTTATTTTAACGTTATAAGATTTGTTTAATAATTAATTTCCTTCACATTTACAAAAACATTTTTATAACGTTAACAAAATATTGTTTCAAATGGAATAAATGTTTTTTTTAATAAAGAAATGAGGCTTAACCCATTATTGTTAAATAATATGAAAACATTCCCACTGCATGTTTAAAACCTTTTTTCTTGATGCTTTTATTGACGATCTAAAATGGGATTAAATTAATCGCAATTTTAATTCCATTTTTTATATTTTCAATGTTTCCAAAATTTCAATTCTTATTCACCTACTTAAAACTTGATATTAGAAATATATCTGAAGATGTTTGAAGATGTTTTTTAATTAAATATGAATTATTTAAAATAATTATATAAAAATGTTTTTCAAATGTTTTAAAATCACTTAGAAAACATTATGACTTATACAGCACAGAACGTTGAAAAAACCTTGATGAGACGTTACAACGTTGAAAATAGAAGTATGGATATTTTTTTCTACATGTAATTTATGTTGATTTTTCAACATTGATTACAATGTTATTATTGTAATGTTGAATACATATTGAACAAAAAGTACAATTTTTGGCAATAATATTTGAGGAGTATTTAAAATTACTTTCATTTTATGCAACTTATTTTGTTAATAACTTTTTAATAAACAACGAACGACGGTTAAAACTTTTTGCATGTTACTTCGTGACCTTGACAACATATGTCAAGGTTATTGAAATCTATGAGATCGCCATTATTATGCATAATTACCAATACTTCTTTTTGCATCTAAAAATGAACTCAAAATTGGTGACATACGACTGAATTCTTTTTAAATTTTCTGTGATACTTGGGTACACATATAATTTATGAATCAATTATTATATAATCGACGTATAGTGTATTAAATTTGTGAATTATAATTATAATATAACAAAATAGATGTCCACGTTACTCATGAGATATTATTAGATCTGTTTGTTTTCGAAGAACTTTTGAACTAGTACACATTAGTGCAATAAGTTAGAGTGAAATAAAGTATACTTGTTTCACTTTAACTTATTACACTAGTTTAGAAGTCTTTCGGACAAATCTATTACTAACACGTTTTTTTAAAAAGATTTATTTATTTAAACTCCTGAGGCTAAGCGACACGAGCGTCAGTTATATGGCCCGCTGGCTGAACGGCAGCAAGAATGAGAACAAGGTGACTAAATGTAATCTTCGGAAATCAAAAGTAATTATAAACATTATTTTAAACAGTCATTTGAAAAAAGGGAGATCAATCTCATGCAATCTCCGACTAAGATAAGTTAGAATATTTTTGTTTCTGCTTGCATTGATGAGTCATTAGAATATTTGATATTTGATATTAGAATATTTGAAAACTTTTTGGAAAACTACCAGAACTCTAAAGAAACTAATTTGTAAAAAAAATAAAAACAGAAACTTTTTAGGGATATCTATTACTTTATTTAAAATTCTGTATGTAACCACGTATTAACGATAACTATTAACACTCGAAGTGATAGGATTAAGAATTAAAAAGTTCTAGCGAATTTTCGCATTAGTATTAAAATAAGCTAAAACTTTTCTTGTATTCACTCGTATCGATTCGAGTTATAAGAAAAATCGATAGAACTTTTGAGAGTGTTGTTGAGTCCACAATCGGCAGCAGACGAGATGGCAAATATTATCAATAAATTGCCTATATTTTACAAATTTAACAATAGTAAAAAAAAAGACTATAGTCACCCATTTTGAATAATAATGAATTTTTTGAGATTTGTAAAAAAGAAGTGATACAAGATAATTTAAGTGATTGATATTTTTCTTTTTTTTAACAAATCACATTTAAAATTACATAACGTATACATCCGTGAGAATAATTTATACATAATATCATTCACTGCCTGTACGCGGTATATGTGAAATAATTACAATAGTATACGCAAAAAACAATGTACAATCAAATAAATACGAAAATCAGTAATCATAAGTTTCGTGATTTGTGTATGTAATATTTTTACATACAACAAAAAGATACATAATCAGCAGCCACGTAGCATGAAATTTACAATTATATATTTTGTTGAATCAAAAATAGGTTATATATACCCACAGATCTTTATATTTTCATGATATTATCGTTCTCTCATTTCATCGAGCTTATATTGAAAAGAAATTCCCCTGAATCTCCGCACGCGCGCGTATGAATATTGACGCTTTAAGCTGTCCGACACGCTTTCTCTCGACGTTACGATAACTTTTCGCTGTCTCTTGATCAATCATCGCAGCAGTAACTATCACTCTTCCCAATCGTCCGTGTCGGGTTGAGAATCGTATTCGCTGGTGGCGGAATTTCTGTCCGACGCGGATGCCTCGTTTGGTTTTGGCGGAGGCGGTATTAGACTAGACATCCTCTCCAAAGCACCTACCGTAGAGCCGGCGATACCTTTACGTCTTAACGCCAGTTTCGCGTGTAAATCTGCCATCAGATCTCCTCCAACAGAAGCCGAAGACCATCGATCGCGCTTCTTCTCGTCTGGTACAGTAGGCCTCAACTTCGCTCGTCCTATTCCGCCAGCGTTCCGTATCGCTGCCATCAAATTGGAACGATCGTCTGTGAGGTTTCTCGCGGGCGGACGGTTCGCGATTTTCTCTTTCTTTTCCGGATTGTCATTTGACAGAGGCACAGACGGTTCCGCTGCTGGCGGCGGCGGAGGCGGTGGCGGCGGTGGTGGTGGCGGCGGTGGCGGAGGTGCCATAACTTGCTGACAATTAGTTTTACCATTGTCCGCAGTAGTATTTGTATTCGCGATGAATACAGAAGGTAAAGGAGGTGGTGGCGCAGGTTCCCGCGACGACGTAGCCGTCGCAACAGGCACGTTTTCAGTCAAAACAGGCAAACACAGTACGTTATCCTCGATCTTTGACCGAGAATCCCTCTCGTCACTAGTAGGCGTTGGTAGGTCCAAACGTACCGTGGGCGTCGTGACCGCGGATGATGGTGCAATAGGACTTTGCGAGTTAAGATCGAGTACAAATTTCTCATCGTCCACAATACCTGGTAAATCTGGAAGCGTTAGTGGTACGTTTATTTGAGGAACCTGAAACGAACAAAAATTGCTATGAGAAATTTAAAATATAGTTTTCAAATAGTCTACAAAATAAAAAGAATTTAATAAATATATATTGTACGTCGTTAAAATATGATATATACTTAATAAGATGCAGGATAGAAAAATAACGCGTTACTTGGAATGCCATTACCGTTACAAGTCTTCCTTTTTCAATAACGATTTAGGCACGAAGTTATTTTTTCACTAATAATGATAACGCTATTATATGTTTTTAGTAACGATAACAAATATGATTGTTATTTTCTTCGCTATTTTGCACATATAGAACACAAAGTAGTATACAAAGTGTTTCTTAAATATCGTCTAATATTTTAGAAGTTAATTCTTGAGGTCATTTTATAAAAAAAAATTATATGAACATATAGTCTCAAAGATCTCAATTCAAAGACACAAAGTGTTACTAATTTATAAATTCTACGTGGAAATACAAATATCTCTTAAACTAAACTTAAACTGACTTTATTGAAATTTAGCAATATTTTTTATAAGTAGTTAATAAAATAATGTAAATTCACAATAAAATTTTATTTTATCCATTGGTGTACAAATTTAACGCTATGATGTAAGAAAGAAGGATAATATGAAACAAACTACTTTGTTTTCTTCCTACTAAAACTTTTCACAAAGTGAAGAACAAAAATATATATATTTTTTTAAATTGAGAAATCTAATATATTAGATATAATATGTCGATTAATGATAAACTTAAACTGCAAAATTGCAGAAATAGTTATTTAGAAATAATTTATCTACTTTGAGATTTAATAATGGATTGAGACAAAGTGTTCTATATTACCACATCTTATGTAGCAAATATGAAAGTAATATTTTTATTTGCAACTTCTGTTTACAAGTCTAAAGGACTTCAAAATAATTTGAATTATTAAGTTAAATTTTTTCAATTTTTATAAAAAATTATTTTACTTCCATTGTTTATTTATGATTTTTACATTCAAAGGAACTCAATAATAAATAACAAAATAATAATTAAATTAAATAATTTTTATAATCAATAACAAAAAGTATTTGTAAAATACTTTATAACAAAAAGTAAGCTTTTCTTATTTTCGTGTCTGTTTCATAGTAACATTCCATTTTTTAAGATCATACTTCTTGCACTATGTTAAAACATTTTTGTATTTTTTAAACTTTTTTTTCTAATAATTATATAAATATATTATAAATATATATTTGCTAATACTTTTTTTCTAATAATTATATGAATATATTATAAATATATATTTGCTTTTGATAGTTATTGATGTAATTATTGCATTTAATATTGGATTTATATTTCATAAAAATTCATTTTCCTATCTTCTCTTTTACTACTTAACCCTAGGTATACACACTGGGATCTCCGAGACTCCAGGCAAAGTTTGAAACTTTAGTTTTAGTAGAGAGAATAAATAAGGAGGATTCGGCCGCCATGTAAAAAAGATTTGAAGTCTCCTCTGTAGATAGTAACTGTCGGAACAGTCAATTGTCTGTCGGTTTTGTGATAATTTACGTAAAGTAAGTCTGGGGTCTCCCAGACTTCGTGTGTACTTCGTGCAACATTTTTTGCAAGTATATTTTGTAATTAATTTTATTTGAATTCATAGTATAAATATATATTCTAAAAAATGTTATATTAAATACGTAATGTAAAAAACAGAACTAATTTTTATTGGGAGACAGAAACACAGACTAAACGCCCAAAATAATACTGCCTTATTGGGTGAATGTTATTTACTGCTTTTAAATTATTGACGTTTTTCTTTTTCTGTTTTTGTTACATGAATTATAAGACCTCTGTTAAGCTAGCAGGACCAAATGAGCAGAATCATGCCGGACCTTTTGCGTTATTCAGTACTTATTTTGTACTAATTTGTACCACTATTAAATATTTTGTACCACTTGCCGTTTTAAAAAAACTCGTGGCGCTGCTAGCTTAACGTTGAGCTAGCAGGCCACATGTAAAAAAAATAAAAAAAGGAAAACAAAGATATAAATACAACGGCCAGAATTTGTACTAATTTGTACCACCCAAAACAAGCTGATAAATAGATCTCTTCCGCTTGAAACAACAATTTAAATTTGGTAATTATTTAGTTTAGCGGCAACACCTCCGATTTCGACGAAAATAGGCTCAATCGACGCGTTTTTGCATGCCAAATAACTTTTTCCTCTAACGAAATCGTCGCTCTCTACTACGAAGCAAGATATTTATTAATAGACAAAGTTGAGGGCGCGTTAGGTTAGAAAATCTGTCATACCATCTATCTCTAGCTATGTGACTGGGGAGCTTCGCCCCCCAGACCCCCCGTATCACGGGGGGTGGGGGCTATAGTCTCTTGTGCTTAAGCTAAAGAATGAATTTCTCACAAAAGACTGTAGCTCCCGCCCCACCGTGTTACGGGGGGTCTGGGGGGCGAAGCCCATAGAAGGAGGGGAGCATACTAGATGGCGGCGGGACGCCGTGCGTTCGAGATCTACGTATTTTTTTCGTTCCAGAAAGAGAAAAATATCCAGAACGCGGTCCTGCTAGGCCGGGACTCGAACCCGGGTCTTTCGCTTGCCGGACGATTGCTCTAAGCCACTGAGCTACCTGACGCTCCACGCTCACGACACTCTCCTCTTCCTAGATAACGCTCAGAGATGCCGTTCGGAAGCGATTAAGCTAGAGATAGACGGTATAACTGGATAATTACCAATTTCTTAATCAACGATTGTAACAAATTAATAGACTTTTTAATACAACACGGTGTTTTAACATCTACAATATAT